CACACACACACACACACACACACACGCATGCAGTACATGCACATGTGTACACACACAATGACATGAAAGCAAGCTCCCTTTGTCTGTTAACCAAACAAGAGCAGGCAGCACTTGTTACAGATAATAAAGTTGTGAATGGCTGATTTTGGAGAAATAGCGTTGTTGCAGTGTCACAGGAATGGCATTACTCATTTATACAATGAATACTAAAAGTTCCCCTCTCTTGAGTCTCCTCTCGTAGTCATACAATAGCAAGCTTAATTACATTAAGTTCTGAGAAGAGGGAAGTTAATGGATGACATTTTGCTACACCATGAGTGCTCCTTCCAATAACAATAGAAACCCAAATAAGACCTAATTAATATGCATAGCAGAGCCAATGAACTTAATTGTCAAGTTGCTTTTATCAACCTGTCAAAGGATTGACAATTAAAACAGCCTCTGTTAAAACTTTAATGAGAAGCAAGTAGGAGAGAGGGATGATGAGGGAACAAAAAGACGCAAGCTTCATCCGTCATGAAAGACGCTACAAGACAACTACCCATTATTATTTCCTATCAGGATAAAACTATGCAAATCATATTATGCATTTTTAAATAATAAGTCAATGAGTAATATTTAATTTATTACCTATACTCTTAGAATGAATATTTAACGCTGTTTTTAAGTTGATGAATTCATTAGATAATTTAGCGTTGAGCTGCAACAGCAGGTTTTTTTTTTCTTCTTCTTCTTCCTCCAACTCAGAATGTCCTTCAGTTTCTGTCCTGAAATCCAGAACAAGTATGTGTCAGTTTTCAAGTTCAACAAGTAAACTTCCTAAAGTCTTCCCTCAAGGAGGCCAGAGCGCCTCATCATTTTCGCTGTAGCCCGAGCAGAGCCGAGGTCCATAGCTGGACCTGAGCTGAGGCGAAAGGCAGCATTTTGACTTGAGTTTTTATCCCAACATTGACACCAGCATGTCTATGTTCCAGAGGGGAGTTAAAACTGCTGACTCATTCCCAGTGCGCTGGTTGTTGTTCTCCCTTACAGATGTGACCGTTAATAGGCCTGCATCCATAATCATTAGTGTGTCTCAGTGCACAGGTACCCGATGGGCCCCGTGCGTCTGCCATTTGGTCTCGGTTCACTGTGCTTGCCTGCAGATGTGAGCGAGACACACACCTGCTCAGGGGCTCTCAAACAGACCGGCGCCATCCGTCACAGCTCACGCTACACTCGCTCTGTCGGAACAAGGCCTTGGTTCCGGTCCAATGGCCCTCAGACTGTAGGTCAGCGGCCGTCTCTCGTGATGAACCCACCCTACCATGAATCATATTCTCTCGTCCCTTTATACCCACTCCACTCCATCCAACCCCAACCCTCATTGCCCCTGTTCATGGTTCGCTCTTCCCTCACACAAGCACTCGAGCGCACTGAAGTAGCTCAGGTGAGCCAGGTAAAGACAGCACCTTAAAGAGAGACATAAACTAATGATCATGTTTTCCCACATCATACACTCCCTGTGCCCATAAGCCACAGTGCACTCAATAAAAAAAAGAGAAAATGAAAAAAAAAAAACAAAAAACTTTCGTGTGGGTCTTTCACGGGCATCAGGCCACGCTTCACACTACATTTGTTGATGTGTGCATGCATGTGCACGTCTCATGCCAGCCCGCCTCCCATCAAGTCCTAATGAGGCCAGCTGGCTCTGTGCTCGGACCAAACCAAACTGGAGAGACGGCACAGTCCTGGCTCTCTCCGCCTTGTACACCCCACCTCCCCAAAGCCTCCCGCCCACCCTCCCTCTCCTCCAGATATCTTGGAGAACCATGGACGGCTGAGCACACACGGCAGATTTGGAAATGGCCAGTGTGTTTGTTAAAATCTACTATGTCTCCCAGATCCCTTGGCCAGGGCCTGAATTAGAAAGTCCACGGCTGCAGCCCCAGACCTGCCTCCTTGGTTGCTTACCACTACAGTGTCTTCTGCATCCACAACAGCAGTGGTGATGTCGAGGTCTGCTGTAGAACAGCGGAAAGGAGGAGATATACCCTGAGGCACAGTCAAGGGAATATTGTTCCTGACTATGGAAACAGAAACACAGCCAATGTTACATATACCTACAGTAACTACAATAAAAACTCAGGAAGATAAAACAGATCCTAGACAACATGTCATAATGTGTTTTTTCGAAAAAGAAAATCCAACAACACACATCAGTAGCCATGTTTCAACTTTAGTGTCCGTTATCTCTGAGCTGCTGTCTTTTTAAATTTTTATTATTAGGGAGATCATTTCTTATTAGGCTACAGCAGTTAATTTCACTGCAGACTAATTAGAGGCATTTCACATTATTAACAAGCATTATTGTTGATAAGGGCCAAAGAGGTCTGCAGAGAGACTCGTATTGTCCAGGCTGTTACTTGGCATACAGTTATGTCCATGTGGGTGAGTAATTTCAGCTCCCTTGCAATGTCTCCTTGACAACTAACAATAATATACCTCTTCTAAGCAACACAAGAAATCATGCACAGCATTCATACATGCATACCAACATGTGAATGCATTAGCAGACACACACACAGGTGGCTTCGCACACACATGCATAATGTGCCCACACATGTATAAGCATGTGTACATCAACATCAATTTGTGTACAAATGCACATAAACAGTACGCAAACATACTCCTTGTCCCCTCCACCCAATCAGCAGCCAGATCTTGTTCGCTGTAGTCTGGAGACTGCAGACTGCATGTGAGTTTTTTGCCCAGGAAGAGAGACTGGACCGGGGGGAACACCTTAACAGGTAG